CGTCGTCCAGCATGACACCTACTAAGCTAACAGTGCGCTCATGTAGCGCTTATTTTCGCTGGTGTTCCCTAAGGTCGCGGTCAAACTGGGCACTGAGGGGCTAACTGTACGGCAGGACAGAGACCCCCCCCCCCTCCCCAATCTGCTCCACTATATGAGCAAACAATAATAATTATTGTTCTCGGTGTGAAACAGCTACGAATCAAATCAATTTCCAAATATTATAAACTCTTCTATCACTTTGATTAACCGATTGATTGATTGATTCATTCATTGATTCATTCATTCATTGATTCATTCATTCATTCATTCATTCCTTCATTCATTCATAGTTTAAATACTTTTCTCCCTTTCTTTCTTTACCACTTTACTCGTTTATTCATTTATGGGTGGAGTGCGGTGGGGAGGCGGCAGGTTGGTGGAGGGGAGAGGGTTAGAAATTGATCTGATGGAGCTGATTACAGAATTCCTAGCTTCGTAGAGGAAATCTGTAGTGCACAGTTGAATATTTTTTTTGTCCTCGGGCGTAGTTTGCCGCGTGGTAGTACCTTAAAGAGGGGGGGGGGAGAGTATACCCCGAAAGTCTGGATTCGGCTCAAAATTATGGATTTTGAGTTGTAGGCACTTGTAGCTTCTTCAGCCTTTCTTACAACTTACAACTATTTCATCGCATAAGAACCCCTTCAAGCCCTATTTCTTCACATACTGGGCATGTTTGTCACCACCATTTCCTCATAAAGTCAATCTTTTATTTTTCTTTATCGACTGTTTTCTCGAAACGTGGTTTTGCTACATACTTTTTAAAATAACTCCACCATTTTTTCTTCGAACTTTCATGAAATTTTCACAGAATGAAGAAAATAATTTTTAATATAAGTAATAGATTTTTGTTGGTGCCTGGAGTGTGAATTTTTACGGATTTTTTTTTGCAAACTTGAACACTAGATCTAACTCATGAAAAAAATCATTAAACATTTTTTAATTCGTTTAGGAAAAATTTATCGAACGTATTTGTAGATCTAAAGTTTGCTAACATGCATGCAAGGAAAAAAAACAAACAAACAATGTATTTCCATGAAACATAAGTACGGTATTCATTACGTAGGACATGTGAATAAAATCTAGTATGGCCACCGTGTCCATGGAAACGAAACTGTTTTCCCAAATTTGATTGCGGATTTTAAGACTCGTTACTATGCTTGCTATATGTGGGAAATTTTATAAAATTTTAATCCACTAAGCGAGATAGCCATCAGGTGAATCCCCTCCTCCCCCCTCCCCCTAAACTAAAGCTTCCACCATTCCATCATGGTCCGCTGACCCATGGAAAACCAAAAACTTTCTCACGCCTTCCGAGAATGGTGGTAAAGGAATTCACAACTTTTGCTCAAAGGAAAGGGATATGAATTTCACCCCCCCCCC